ATTCTCCAAGGCACCTGAAGGCAGGACGAGAAGCAACGGATGGAAACTGATCAAGGAGAGAAGCAACTTAGAACTAAGGAGAAACTTCCTGACAGTTAGAACAATTAACCAATGGAACAACCTGCCTCCAGAAGCGGTGAATGCTCCAACACTGGAAGTTTTTAAGAAGAGACTGGACAGCCATTTGTCTGAAATGGTGCAGGGTTCCTGCCTGAGCAGGGGGTTGGACTCGATGACCTCCAAAGTCCCTTCCAACTTTATTATTATTATTATTATTATTATTATTATTATTATTATTATTATTATTAGTATTAGTATTAGTATTAGTATTAGTATTAGTATTAGTATTAGTATTAGTATTAGTATTAGTATTAGTATTAGTATTAGTATTAGTATTAGTATTAGTATTAGTATTAGTATATAAAAGAGCCACCTGTGCATAAAATCTCATGTTGCGGGCTCAGAAAACCAAGAGAGACGCATTGTGTTCTTCCTAGTAGATATCTTTATCGTTCCTTGCCCATAGACAGAATCTTGCTAAACTAAACCATGCTAACATCCCCATAAAGCATATACTCTGGGAAGGGAGGAGCCATCTTCACCCTCTTTCTCTCACACAAACTATCTGAACTGAGTGGTCTCTTGCTCCTCTAGAATGCAGCCCCTCCCTCCTGGAAGTCCATACTCCACAGGATCAGTGACCGACCCTCCAGTATTGGAAGACAGCTATCTAGCAATTTTTCAGTAAAAAATTTATTGCGAGGGTGAATATAGGAAAAAGCCTGAAGGCTTCATTGAATCTCTCTGAATTAAAATATACCATACAGCAAGAATAATATAATGTAATAATTATTATGAGAGAAAGGGTGGGCCAATTTGAGAAATGTTGCTGCCTAGAGCAAAGTTACAAAGGGTGTTCCTACTTCCTCACTATGTCAAGGATGGATTTTTAAAAGCTGGAATTTTATTTATTTTTTGGCACCCAATACAGAAAAGCACACCAGATCCTTTTGTGACAGTTAAAAATGTAATTATGATGTATTAAGGTGCTAATGATTTATTTTCATTAAATACAGTAGTAACTAACCATGTATCTTGTTTCATGACATAGAAAATCTGCTAAACCGGATAGCCAATTCACGCTGTTTTACAACTTGGGATAGGGATGGGTGGAGAGGTATTTGGGCTGAAATCCAACACATCCGAGAGGGCTTCAGATTGGGGGGGGGGTGCATCTTGTAAGAAGCTTGCAAGGCCAGAATCATCCTCAAAACATGCCTTCTTAAGAATAAGAAGGGGGACACCAGAAGCCTATATTCCTATAAAGGCTGGATAAAATAGCATGTGATTTAAATTCTGGCTTTTTTATAGAGTGAATTCTTAAGTATTGCAATAATTAGTCTTCATTGTTTGCTTCTTGTATGTCTCCATCTGACTCTTGTCCTCAACTCTTCTGTTGACCCCCAAGTATTGGTTGAGTTTCTAGAGAGAAAAATTTACTACTATGCATTGGGTGAAGCTCTGATGAGATCTTGACTAAATTCTTGTTTTTTGCAATTGTTTTTTTTTTAATTTTGCAGGCCATCCGATGCACTCTGGAAAGTTGTAGCTGCCAGTGTTTTAAGACTGGGAAAATAAATCAACGCCAGTGTGACCAATGTCGGCATGGATGGGTAGCTCATGGTAGGTAATTTATGATGAAATTCTTTGTAATAGGGCTGATGCATCTGTGTGAGAAGGCCTCATTTGCAGTTTTCATTTAAAGTCATCT